CAAACAAGCAAGAATACACTATTCCAGTGAGGACATACTAATGTTGTAATGGTGGGTATAACGTTGTTAAGTTGAGTGTTTTGTGTTGTACTGTGGAAGAAAAAGTATTAAGATTGATTACTTTAGTAAAGGTGGGAATGCCACTATGTAAAAATACTCCATTAAGTTAAAGTCCTGAAATTAAAATATTTATACACACATACATTTGCAACATTTATAAATCACAATAGTATTATCAAGGAAATGAACTTAACTTTTGCTGAACAGTGGCCACTGCGATCACAAAGACCTTGTGTAACAGTAGCACAAGTAAATGTGAGTCATGAAGTCCTGACTCAGTAATGTAATTTATAATGCATCATCTACCTAAAGATTACTAGTGTTTTTCCACAACATGCCACGACTCATAACAAATAGAGCCATAAAGTCCTCACTCAATAGTGTCAGTTATACTACTGGTCATTACATGTACGCTCCAGTCATGAAGTCCTGATTCAGCAATGCCCTAAATCCTACAACATCTACCTAAAATTTGCTAACATTGGCTAACATTAAAAATAGAATATTTTCAATAATATAGAAATACTCAAGTAAAGCACAAGCACCTAAATACTATGCTTAACTACTCGAGTAAATGCTCTTACCATTGGCATTGTATAACTGTCGGCTAAGGTATAATCAGGCTGCGTACAGTGAATACAAACATGCTCAGTCGGTCAGGTAGTGAGAAATCCCACATTCTACTGTACAAAGGGACACACTTCACTGACACTGAATATGCACTCAATTGATAAGCCGGATCCTGCCCAAAGAGACAGATAATTATCTGCCATTAGTTAGATCTGCATGTTTCTGTGTACTGATGTGTGTGCTGGGAACAGGGGCGTTGTTTTGTCTCATGTCTGGATGAAGGCGACCTATGTTGGTTTAGCTTTTGTATGACCTGCAGATGTTGGTGTCTCTGTGCATGTTTATATACACCATGTGTGTTCACCACCTTGAAAGAAGAACGTGTTTGGAAAAACTCTGCCCACACAACCGAGCAGCCAAGGTCTCTCTTTTCATTCCCGACCTGAAATTCTTTCCTCTACTGTAGTTCACGTGCGGTTTCAAGATAAAAACCTCCATTCATTAGTAACTGAGGGCTGAGGGCCCGACGTAACGACAGGATACCCCACCCTTGTCTGGCAACAGCCAGGGTCATATTTTACCCAGTACTAGTGGCCTTCACTTTTAAAACAACCAGTAGTACAGGACAATTTGTTTGTATCTGTTTCAGGTGTCCACAACATTACTACTTACTTGCTACAACTTTAAATATATCAAGAAGAGCAGGAAGGCTTGGGGTTTTCCAGGTTTCATTACTTGTCACAAGCTCACTATGTTATTGCATGTACTTTCTTTCTTTCTCTTTTATCCTATTTGACTTTTATCTCCCCTGCCAAGCTGCCAAAACTCAACCGCACACCCCCACATACTGTCAGTAATCAGGCATTTGCCTGTCCACAGTTTTGTGTGCGATACAGATGTGCGCTATCGTGCTTGCTTGCAAATCTCCTGCTTGCTCTGCTGCTGCTGCTGCTGCTGCTGTTGTTGCTGCTGCAACTGCTGCTGCACTCCCGGGAGGAAAATCCAGCAGGCGCAAAGGGGACAGAAGCTGACTTCCTCCAGCAGCTTCTAGTAGTGTTTGTGAGTCATCTCCACACACTGGTGGCAACTTGTGTGACCTATACAAATTGCAGTTAAAGTGATATTTCACTCAAAATGTGTCATTTGAGAATCGAACGCTCGACTGATCAAAATAATCGTGCAATTACTGTAGCCATATTTTGCCAAATATTTCAATAATTTTAGAGAGCAGAGAAGTGGATTATGCTCAACTGTGTATTTCTTGTTTTTTACATTTTGTTTTGCATAAAACATTGCAAAAGGTAAAACTTAAAACATAAAAATAATCCCTCTGAATAAAACCAGCAGACTTTTGGTGACTGTATTTCTAAAACACGACTACAAATAAAATATACAAACAAATACAGCAGCTTTACATCCTGCTTTGGAAAAATGTTAATGAATCCTGAAGCATTTGAAGTGTACAAACAAACGAACACCTTTGTAATTTTCTAAAGTCAACTCAACTTTAATTATATAGCCCTTAAAATACACCCCAGTTGTTCAAAATTGCTTTACAGCACAAGAGAGAAACAGAACAAAAAAAGGAGACAAATAGTAGAATAAACTAAAAAAACAAAATTTGTTTATGTTGACAAATACATTTTCTTACGTGACCCATCTTTAAAGCCCTAATTTACCTATTGCTTCTGTGGTCTCATATGGCAGACTCACCTGAACATTACAGTGTACTGGGTCAGTGATCCTGGGCTACAAGATATTTTACTCCACTGCTGTGAAGAGGAATGTTGGAGTGATGTGAAAAGTCGCAGCTTACATGTGAAAATCTCTAGATGTTCACATGTTAAACAGATATGAATTGTGGGAAATGAAACTGTTAAACCACAACATGTGCAAATAACACATGGGGTTAGTTTACATCAGCAGCACACCGAAACTCTCCACTATTCTCCACTATTTCAATAAATAGCAAGGTGGTGCGTAACTGTGGGTGTGTATGTGTGATGCAGAGAAGTGGGGGGTTTACACATGTGCAAACTTGTTTGGAATTGCCTGGGCACATAAGAAGACATTTACTTTACATGACCAGGATGTGAATAAGTATTTGTGGAAGTGGTTATCAAGAGGCCAGTCAAGGGTGAGGGGTGTTAATTTTGCATACAGGAGCACTAATGCCACACGTCACTACTGTTTTGCAGGATTTGAGAAAATCCTATTTATTCTTTTTCAGTAATATGAGATAAAGCAAAATGAACACTGAACCTTTTAAATTTTTAAATTTCTCTTACTATATTAAAGACCTTTGCTGTACATATCATACATTGTGTGTGAAGTAGCAGTCAAAACTCTCACTCACCATGTCATCATGTCAGTTCACTAAAGAGATTTAGACTCAACAAGACAGTTGAACGGTCGGATACATGACAGCAAGTCAGAATTTTTGAGTTGGCGGCGTTGAACCACTATTACATTGATAGTTATTGTATCTTTTGGGCACACATGCAAATACACACGTCTACATTTTGTGTGTGCCTCTGTACACCTTTAGCTCAGTGTTTGAGCCAAACAGTGTGGTCCAGGTCTGTTTGATTGCATCATGATTGGAGCACTCAGTGGGTCATCGTGGCTCTGTCTGCAACAAACAAAGCACAGCAGCCTGTACTTTTCCACTGATTTTAATAAGCACGTAGGGACTGGTCTCTGAAAAGAGAGCAGATTTGACTGCCTCCTGGCACAGCGTTGCCTCCCCTGTGTTCAACGGGGTCACACAAGATGTGTTTTCTCAGTTGATCAAGACTCTTCCTGTTTCATGAGAATAAACACCCACAGACCTGCTCACCTACACACACAGATACACACTGAGAAAGACAGCAAGAAAGAACCAGACACTGAGGTGATATACTGAACTATGGTAATGTAAACAGCCTCGCTCTCTCATCCTGCCTCTGTCTCACACACAAAGCTGTTCCCTTGCCTGCCCACCAGGGCCTAACCTGAAACTAAGCAGTCATCAAATCATGACTTTGAACATACACTACCAGAAACAATCCATCAACCTGTGGGGCTCGTATTGGTAGGTCAAAATTGAGATATTGTAATGTAAAACAGAACTGGGTTTATAATGTGCTAGTTTAAATTTAATTTTTTTTTATATCTTTAGGCCTTAACCCACAGCTTTATTTAACATACATACATTAGCCTCGATACATTCTGATTGTGGATGCTTGTGAAAAATTGGGGAATTTCTGCAGGGAATACAGTTTGAACGGAAAAGTGAGAACTTTCGAAACAAATGCTGTCCAGTGAAAACTACGTACCTCTGAATTTCAGTTTTCATATAAACTGATGAGCGGAAATTTGACTATTTTTTAGCTGAATAAACCCCATTAGATGTTTTGAAGCTGAAAAGAGGCCTGCCTTTCTTAGATCATAAACATCTGACCGTTAGGCTACATGTGAAGTAGTAGCAGGCTACCACTAAAGGTTTTGAATTACTGAAGTCTACTTTGATTTTACATTCACTGCCACTGAACTGGATAACAAAACAGTGTAATGTGTTCTATTATTATTGTTTTGCTTTTATTAGAGGACACTGAGATGAAATAAGCGGTCATTATAAGATCAAGTCGATGAAGGCTAAAAACTTTTTTCCCTTTAAATGGGACAATGGAACAAAACTTTTATACAAAGAGGAAATATGACCAGTAACATTAAAATGCTAATTAAAAAGATAGAAACAAAACATGATAATTAAAAAAAAAAAGAAATTATTACTAGGTTAAGATTTAAGTGTGGTGGATGATGATGAATGCTTTCAGTTTAATCTAAGCCAGTGGAGAACATAAAAGATGTTTTTTTCTGCACGTCAGGGAAGTTGGGGCAAATCTTGTACATTCTGGAAGAGGGCAAAAAGACGATCAGAGATGTTCTGTTGCTCCAGAAGAGATTGGATTTTTACACACACACAAACTACATGTAACTGCAATACATTTTCTGTCATTCTTTGGTCTTTATAGAATACATAGGCTAAAGTAGCACAGTTTTGGTGTATCCAGTTACTCGTTGCTGCTGTAGGATACAACTTCTTCAACCAGCACCGTGTGAGTTGTTCTTTGTTGTCGTTTGCTTTTGTTTCTTTTTTCTCTCTCTTTGTACAGGCCGTATTTCCGACCGCCTGTGAACGCAGCGCGGTTTCATGCTGTGTACCCTCTGTTTATTTTCAGAGCGGTGACGTGAACGCTGCACTCCTCCTATATGTGGCTCGTCAGATGGAGGCAGGGCCGGGATTGGTGAGCTGTTGTTGCTGTAGCGGCTTGTGACGGCGCCGTGGGTAGGGAGGGGGCTCTATAAAAACCCGCTCTGCAGTTCCGACAGCTTCACTCTGGAGGAAGCAAGCAATCAGGGAGGGTTGGTCGACGTGGCACCAAGGGACCCACCCCCAACCCCCTGTATTTACCAACAACAGGCGTCTGTTTCCCAGCACTGAACCGTCCTAGCACCCGGGCTCTCTCTCTGAAAAGAGACACATCCCTCTACCTCGACAAATAAATGCAAAGAGAAACAACGCGAGCGCAACCAGATAAGGATCGCTGCCCAGAAGTGGAGAGAACAACGAACCAACGCGAAGAGAAAAACAGACGCGCACGGACCGTCGCCGTTGCCTTTTTTCTCAATGCATACCCTTTGTGCCCGGGGAACGATGAAACCAGAGATCAACGCCGCCGTCGGATTTCTGACGAGATTTCTGAGGGTAAAAGGACACGTAAACGATCGACAGGTCCAAACGTTCAGCCAAAGCTTACAGGACATTTTGTCAGGTAAGAAAACCAGATAAATCACGTATTTGCGCTCACCCACCACCACTGTAAAACGCACCATACCGTAAACTACACTTTCACATGTTTAGTTTAGGTTTTGTTTTAGCGTTAAAGTCGTATATTCGGCTTCTAATTGGTTTTAGAATGAGTCAGAAGAAGCCTTTCTTTGTTCTCCTTAAGTATTCACTATCAGCGATACCTACGCGCACCACTGTGTGCGCACATCGGAAAGGGGGGGGCGACCAAGTATAAACACGGTGAGCGATCTGCAGCGATTCGTCGACGATTAAATTGTTAAAAACAGGTATTTTATTTGACGAGAAGCAAAACCAGGCTGTTATATTAGTTACTTTATTAGGAAGAAGCGGAAAAGGGGGAGGGGGCGTGTGGAAAGAGACGCTTGGCACAAACAAGGAAGTGCGCCTCGGTCGAATAAGCTCTGAGAGCTTAGAAAAACAGCCCCCAGTGAGTTGGTGGAGGCTGACGAATTACGTAATGCATTTGACGAAATATGTTAATAAAAGCGTACAATATCAGACCAAACTTTGGGCTCTGAAAATGAAATATTTTTTTGAGTTTTCATACATTACCCCCAATTTGAATAAATCATTTTTGCTTTTGACCGCGCCAGTGAGAAATTTAATAACCCTCATACACGCTGTTTTTCGGTTGGTCTCTTTTTAAATTTACGTTAAACTTTAAGTTAAAACATAATTCTTATTTGTTTAAACCGCATCTCCTACTCCTTAAATGGCTTCAGCAACAGTGACTGAAAATCAAATCACCTTTTTTACTCCCTTTATTCCCCACGAAAATGAGCCTACATATATCCTCTTACTTTTACCCACTGGCTTAACTTGTTTTATGACTTTTTAGAGAACAGCGCTGCTCGGGGATTGTCTCTTATTTCCTGCTATAAACGCATTCCAGTCTCAGGCCTCTAAAGCTGCCATACATCTGCCTCCCTCATCTACTGAACAGCACATAACAGCCGATGACCTATATTTCCTACATAAGGAGCTCACTCATGTTTAAAAAAAACAAACAACAAAAAACAGGATGTTCATTGTAGATCCCTGGTTTTCAGTAAAATCAGGATAATATCCCAAGCACAAAAATTAATAACTAGTAATAGTGTGTTATGTTATGATGGATATTATTAGTATTTTATTTTTTTTATTTTTTTGAGGAATGGATGTTTTGGTTAAAGCAAATAACTGACAATGTCTCAAAGAGCTCTATTCCAAGACAGTGTTTGTAAACAGACAAAAGTGGGAGCTGAATGGAGTTGGCTGTGGGGGAGGGGATGTTTTGGTGGGTGCTTAACTGAGGACATTACAGATGGAGGCAGTGCTCAAGGAGTGGAGGGGATCTCCACTGAAACAAGGGCAGCCCACCCTGTATTTAGTGCACATACATCCATTATATTAAATTGCTGTGGATTTATTTGTATATAATTTTAGAATTGTAGGGTTTAATCTGTCAGGTCAAATTTAAAAAGACTGTTTTGTAACTCTTATAATGATTACAATGATGATAAAACATGATTGCAAGTGTGTGGAAACAAAAGTGTGTGTGTGTGGTAGTACCCCGTGGGGCTCGCTGCTGCTAAACTAGGCCAGCCAGAGCTCTTTTGTGCTGGGAAACCTCACAATCACTCACTATTGTGTCTGCGTGCTGGAAAGCAGAGTGCCTAGCTCCTCTTGTTTGTGCTGAGCGAAGAGAAAGGGGGGGGGGGTGAAATTGGTCTCAGTGACCAGATTGAAACCACAATAGTTGTGTAATTGTAGTTAGCAGGATTTCGATTCTTCCTCTTTATTGGCGTTGTGATTTGATGCACTGCCAGGAAATGGCTTCAAATGGAAAATACCCAACTGCCCAGCCAAAGCAGAATCTGTTAATGTGTTTCTAGTGTACATGGTCAGCAACAATGAATAAACAACTCTGTTTTGTTAAACTGTTTGTTAAGAACACACTCGTCGTCTTACTTTTCCGCTTCCCATTTCCTCCCCCCTCCTCTTCTTCCATGTGCCCTCGTTTTTAAGAATAGGCCGTACGGAGCTGATCCTTTCCCAGCTGCTCCAGGATTTGTAGGTAGCAGCCTTTGTGGCTCAGTCTGAGGCTGAAAGATCAACCAGCCCCTTGTGCTCTTTCACAAGTGCCAGCCCCTCCATTAATTCAGCGGTATACCGCCTTCTGTGATAAGGAGAGGGGAGGGGGTGCATACAGGTGGCCTCCGGGGCCCAGCCTGAATGCTGGCCTACTTCACTTATGCTGTTTTTCACTGACCATAATGAAATTGGCATCAGCGGGAACTCAATATTGATGAGCCTTGAGTAAATGGGGACTGAGAAGGTGAGTTCCCGAGGGTGGGGAGGTCAGTAAATGAAGAAATCAGAACAAGAACACCGATCTAGTGACCCTAGAAAACAATTAGCAAGCCCTTTTTTCTGTCTTTAAAAGTGAACTTTTGGCATAGGAAAAGATTAAGCCATATTTTCACTTCCCCACACGCCCAAAATCAGACAGTCAACACACAATTTTCCTCCCATTGGGCATTTTAGTGGCTAAGACAAAGCGTTCTCGGAGTTGCGACACCTTGAGTCACTAGTTTCACTGCACGTTAAAAACTTCCACTCTGACTTAGAGAAATAGGATCCTCTCTTAAGAGGTAGAGCCCCGTGCCCCAAATGGCTGGCCAGGACTTCGACACTTTTGGTGTTTTTGTTCAGCCAGTCATGGGAGACTTTGACACTGACGATGGCCAGGGGAGGGATTGTGCAATTCATTGGCCCTCTTCTTGTCACGTAGGCCTTGGCAGCCGCTGGCAGCCTTTTATGGCTGCTTATCAGGCCCGTAACAGGTGGTGGTGTATTGTGGGGATTTTTTTGTCTTGGTTTTTTTTTTGTTTGTTTTCCTCTTTGTCTAGTGCACACAACTGCACCCTACACTCATTGACAAGTACATTTTGTTAATTTATTTTTTTTAATCTGACTTTAGTAAAACATCCACATGATCAGCGTGCTATATTAAAAGTGCAAGGCATACATTTATATAGTAACAACCTTGAATGGATAACAAGTTTTTTGTTGGCAGAATTGTTAAGTTGAACTACATTCTTTTTTGCATGGTAATATATTTGATTAGTTTTGACATGTCTGATCTCATTTTATCACCACCTAAGTTGCCTCCTGGCAAAAAAAAGTAATGTATGAGATAAAGATGTATTCCCCTTAATCATTAAGGAGTGTTCCTGATTAACATCTGGGCTCAACCCAAATGTACACACAGCAAAATGGACTTTTGGTTGAAATTATATTTGTTATCCTTTAGACAGACAGTTTTTTTTTTTTTTTTTTTTTTCTCCAAAAAACAGTTTTACAACCATGATGTTTATTAAAACATTGGACTTATCTAACACAAAGTACAGTCTGTTACTTTCTGTTGCGACCTTTGTTCGACCTCAGTTCACCACCAATCTCACCCACACAGCCACGCTTCAAGTCAGTAATGTTTCAGCTGCTCAACACTTTTCCATTTGGCCTCTTTTCTCTGGGCCTTCATCAGCGCATATAATGTGGTGTGTGTTTTTATTTTGCTCACATTACAAGCCTACAGGCCAGGACATCCTTGTAAAAGAGATTAAAAATCTCAATGGATTTCTTTCCTGGTAAAATAAAGGTAAAATAAAAAAAGCAAACTGGTGCTAATAACTCCAAAGCTAAACTTTCTTTCCATCCTCTTTGTCTCTGCTCTATCCCTGCAGAGCAATATAAGCACCACTGGTTCCCAGACAGGCCCTGCAAGGGTTCAGGGTACCGCTGCATTCGTATAAACCACAAGATGGACCCACTGGTGTGGCAGGCGGGCCAGCGCATCGGCATGACCATCCAGCAACTCTACCTGGTGCTGCCCAGTGAGCTCACTCTGTGGGTGGACCCCTTCGAGGTCTCCTACCGTATTGGCGAGGATGGCTCCATCTGCGTCCTGTACGAGTCACAGCCCTGTCCCCCAGGATTGCCGGCAACAGCCACCACCGGCTCCCCCTCAGGAAACAGCGGGCCGATGGGCTCCATGGTGGACAGTCACATCAGCTGCAAGGAGGAACTGATGGTGCTGGGCAGAACCAGTCCCTCCAAAGCCTACAATATGATGACTGTGTCCAGTTAAAGAGGCGCACCGTCACCCCTGCCTACCTTTGTTCAGGGTCATGCCGTGGCAGGTCAGATCATATGACCAGATCAGGGTGAGCCTTTTTTAAAGCTAAGAATATGAAATGAAATGGTGAAAGAAGAGAAAAGGAGAGGAAAAAAACAGAGGATGTGGCCTATCGTCCAGGTGATGGAAACCTTGTAGGTTTGGTTTTTGTTTTTTTAACCCCCCTCCCCCCCATTATCATCTGTTGTGTCATTGAATCAGCTGGGCACTCCGTTTTTGTAGGAGAGGCTTTGTGGAAATGAAACTGCTGGGGCAGCTAAACCATCTTACCAACCAACCAGGAACCCCCTCCCCCCAACTGTAAAAAAAAAAAAAAAAAAAAAAAACATGGTGATCAGCTCCATCTCAGAAGGGGCTGTCATTGACTTTGCACTTTTCCTAGTGGTAACATGGGTATATATTCAACACACCGCCGCAAAACACCCAAACCTAAATTATGAGGAATTCTTACCAGGAACTACCCCCTGAATTTCAAATTCCAGAGGTTATTCAATTTGCTTTGTTTTCTGGTTCGGGGGGGTTGAGGTTTAGACTGAGCCTTTTGCCATCCAAGCTCAAGGTAAAGAAACACACAATTAGAGCATCTCTATTTTCTATAAAACCCCTTTTGGACCACAGGGAATTGGTTTTCTTTATCTTGTAGCTGGGGGGGAAAAAGGCTTTCGGTCTCCTCCTCCCCCTCAGCCCACATCAACACTGAGCTTCAGAAAACCCTCATCTCAACAGTCTCTCGGCCTGTTTGTACATGCAAGTGGAATGTCCCAACACCTGTTACCTATGGATACCCCCCCACACACTTCTAGTTAATGAATGTTTTTGAAATTCACAATAAAATTCCTGTGTTAAGTTTGCCCCCTTTTCCTTCCACCACTTTGTCATCTCCTGCATCATCAAAATTCAAAGTGTAGCAAAGGGGGGGTCTATTTTACCCAAATTTTGGTCATGTGGCCCTGTTAGAATTGACATTGAATGCACTTTGACCGTAGATTGTGTGGGATGTGTACTTTGTTTTTGTTTTTATAGACATAATCGCCTGCATTCCATCCATTCGACTGTCATCTTTTCAGTTTTTATTGCCCTCCTCACTTTTAGCTGGTTGTTCATATTGTTGCTCCCACGTTGGAATAGACAATTGTCTATTACATTGAGAGTTTCAAAACCCCTTCTTTTTTTTTTTTTTTTTTTTTTTTTTTAAACACTGTATGTGAACATTTCAGAGCTGTTGATTTTTAGGTGGAGAGTATCTTTGGTGGTATGTTGGAAACCTTCTGTCATCTGTTCATATGGCACTGTTCACTCTGGCAGGATGCTGAGCTGAGCCCCCATCCCCTGACACAGATGGTGGTTTGTGTTGCTGATAGAAAAACAAAGTTAGTCTGAAAGGTCTGGACTAAGTGATGGCTGTGTGAGACCAAAGGGAGGTCTTGAGCACTGACTGTTCAGAGATTAATTTTAACTTGAATTTAAAAACACCAGGCTTTGTCAGCCTTCTATTTTCATTTACGTTAGCTATTTCCAAGGTCTTGTATAAGGGAGAGACTTATGCCTCCTATCCTTATGTGTGGATTGCCTTACGGAGACCTCTTTGTCATGAATTGTGAGCCATTCGTGATTATTATATATATTTTTTTTTAAAACCAGTATCGGGCTAATGTGAGCCAGCCTGGTTCGGTCTGCTGCCTGGACCCTCATTAGAGGTGTCCCTTTTTTCCAGCCTGGCAGCACCCCCCCCCTCCCCCTCCCTACTGGTGCGGGGGTTAGAGTGCCTCAAGTGCCACATATCACCCGTCAGCTCAGACCTCCTGTTCAGCCAAAAGCAAAGCCAGCATGCTGCTAGCTGACCCCCCTGTTGATGCAGGTAGACTTAATGTGACACATATCATCATCCATCACCATGGGGAGCTGGGTAAGGAAGGCAGGGACAGGAGAGCTGGTGTGAAAGAGCGTGGGGGGCCAGGGCCGGACTTCTTGTCCAGGGCAGCTAAAATCCCTCCAGCCCCCCCCCCTCTGGACTTATTCAACATCTCCGACCCTGACCAGAAGACCTCGACCTTCCCTCAGCAGTGATGGATACAAAACCAGCACACGCGCTTGGCATGCTCAAGCTGCACTAGGGGGGGCTAGTGAGAGACGAGGAAACATGGATCAAAGATGAAGAACTGAGGGTACAAGGCCATTGTTTTCTGTTTTCATCTCACTGGATTGCGCTGCACTTGATTACTGAGTTTGAGTGGCGACTTTGTTTACATGCATATGAAAGGATGTGATGGCTGTCTGACGTACCCCTTCACTCTTAACTCCTGGTTCTGGAGCTGAAAGGTTAACAGCAAGCTGGAACAGATGCTGAGGCAGCTTCATGTGTAGCTCGGATCTTAGCCGCTGGCCAAATCTGTCGCGGCAGGCTGGTTCACCAGTCATCACCAGACCTATGGGTTTTTAAGCTCCCCTAAGCCTGAGTGGATCATGGGTAATGGAGCTATAGCCTTTGACGCACTGCAACCCCCTAACCCTGCTCTCTGTTACTCCCTTCAGCAATCTGTGAAAAGCAGTGATTCAGTGTTGACCAGATGGATAGGAGCTCGCTGGGAGGGGAGCCCAGAGCTTTGGTTTCCATGGTAGACGCCAGTTTTAAAATCACGCTGCTCCATTATGGTTTTTTTTTTTTTTTTTTTTTGTATTCTATATTTCGGACCTGCGATGACCGTCTTGTCTCATTTTCTCTAGATGTATTTTATGGTCACACTGGTAGATTTTCACATCTTTCCACTCTGCCAGCCCCATTTTCTCCTCTTCATCCTCTTCGTAAAATTTGCTTTTAGTCTCGTGGTCCAACCCACTTTTAACAGACGTTGTTTTCAGAGCTACAAAAACTCAAAATTAAACCCAAATCCTTCGACACCTTCTCAACTGTACTATCGCCACCCAAAATGGTTTAAGTCCTCAGTAATAATTATTTAAATGGCATCCATTCAGCTTATGCGAACATAGGTTACAGAATTGTTGTGAGGGTGCTTTGAGTAGTCAGAGGTAAAATAGCACATAAAATGCACTAAATATGTCAAGTTGAAGTTGTGACATTTTTTTGAGACACAAGGAGTCTCTCCTGGAATGTATTGCCAAACTCAGGCCTCAGACTTCAATAAATACCCTTGTGGAAAAGTTGTGCATGTTAAGACATGAAACAGGAAGGGAACAGCAGTTTTGTTGTTGTTGTCAAAATTGTCATTGATTAGTTGAATTATTGCCACTTTCACATTTGAGGTGTTTTACATATTGTAGAATGTATTGTAACTGTACAACAAATGGTAGAGTACATAACATTACACATGGGAAGTGCCAATAATTTCTATCCTGAGGTGTTTTTAGATGTATTCCTTTTTGTATTTCATCTTTTAACATGGATAAACGCTTTTCGTAAGTGAAGCCATTTGTGATGGGAGTGTTGGCAAGGACCAAAGTTGTTTTGGTTACCACAAGAAAAAATATTAGTTTCCATGATCTGAAAGTGTAGACGTATCCTTTTGTTTGTTTTTTTCTTTTCTCCTTTTTTTTTTTTTTTTCTATTTACCTACAAAACCAGAAAATAGACAAAAAAATCTGAGCTTACCCAAGAAGAAAATCTGTATCTTGTGATCTCATGTCAGTACATCTTTATCGTGTTCAGTTTCTTTTCCTTGGGTATGTTGTGATGAACTGCTGTAAATTTGTACAGTTCATGTAAATTGATTGTGCGGAAGTTGTACAGATTTCTATATTTTGGAAGAAAAGTTTTTTTTCTCTGTAATAAAAGATTTCCTATCTTGGCATCATATCCCCTGTGAGCTGTGTCATTATTTACTCAGTTTTATTAAATTATGACTTAACAAAAGGCACATTAATCATTAAATCCCGTAGAGGCTTGTTCTTAACACTTAAGGTTTTTACCTGAAGGAGATCTTAAACTGTATCTTGTACATTAAGAGCTACATGAGCCTAAATGCTAATGTTGTGGCCCAGATTAGAATTTGACCTCCAAGTGGTGTATCTGTGCTGCGCCAAAACAACTGGAGAGGAGATGGTCCCCCTTTCAGGACAGTGAACTGCACTTGCGGAAATTAGAGTTTAAGTGACGAGAGAAAGAGATGGGGGGGGGATGGAGAGATAGATATATATATATATATATATCACACTACACAACTAACACTGGTGCTATTGCTAAATTTGATAAAGGAATAGAGCTGTGGTGCATTAATTTGTGTTTAAACTCTTTTGTAACACAGACATGGAATTGGGAAAATCTGGTGGACTGGATGACTGTCAGTAAATTGATGTAGCTTCATATTTTGGGAGTAACTGTGGAACGTTTCATAAGCCTATTGCAGCTTTTTCCCTTAAAAGGACTGTAGCGTGCCCTGATCAGCAAATCCAATCACTTCACATCCAAATGCACATTTTTGGAATAAAACTCAGCGTTCCATTCTCCATCCAAATGGAGCTGCCAGTGCATCCACCTCATAAAAGATAAGTTGCGATAGATGGTACTGTTAGCAAGCATTCTCTCGAAAATTTGAAAAAAAGGTGCTAACTCGGGGAGGGGACGGATATGTACAACACCGCTGCTACCGGACCAGCTGACTCTGCAAAACGCAGAGTTTGGATTAAGACTGCAATCCTTTGCAGCACTCTGAATCCCCCAAGTTGCTTAGCAGCAGGCGGAATAGAAAAACATTTGGCTCATTTTGACACACAGACAAAGGAGGGAACAAGAAGAGCTGGTTTAGCAAGAGCCAGGGTGTGGGGGAGGAGGGCACGTAGTGGGAAGGTGACTGGGCTTGTGTTTAAGTCAAGCTTTAACTTTTCCTACACTGGATTGCTCGAGGCCTTAGCAGCTGGGGAGTGTGGGTATTGTAGTTTGAAAGTAGTCTGTCAGCTTGAAAAAATTATTCTTTCATATTTAGGCTTGTTTACACATTCACTTTGCTGCATACTACTACATTTCCCTGTTCGATCCTTGTGGAAGTTTCCCAGGGTGTGTCTTGACTATATGGCCCAGTGTGGGCCATATATCTTTTGTATGAAAATATCATCTGGAGGGGGAAAAAAGAACCATCCAACAGTAACACAAATCACAAGTGAACCAGATTTAATGATTTTGCAATCCATGTCTCCCCGGACAGGGTTTTGCAATGACTCATTTGAGCAAGATGTTTTGACACGTTTTTCATCTCTGAAAAAAAGGAAGTGGATTGCAGTGGGTGTGCTTGTGCAGAAACCTATCATTTTGATATTGTAAATATTTGAATGCTGTTGGAACATGTGAGGTGATCTTTACAGCAACAATTTTCCCCTAAATGTTTTTCTTTTAAAGGCTCAATTTATGCTTCAGTTCATTTAAATATGTCCTTAAGGCAGGCCAAAATACGGAAATGAACTTCATTAAAATTTTACTTAAGATTTAGAGATATAAGACATTTGCATACCGGTAAATATATTTTGATACAAAATCAACTGCTATTCACTTTATTCAAATCCTATTGCAAAATATGTCAGAATATCATTAAATTGTCGTCTAAGAATTGCATTGGAGTTTCAGCTTGGTACTGATGAAATAGCAGTGTAATATTTTCTGCCCTCCCCTCCCACTCACATAGCAACATAGGTCACCCTGTAGAAATGGTTTGATTAGGTAGTAAGTTCTGGAAGATGTGGCTGATTACCACGAAAAGATAAGGAAACTATTTATCACAGCATCAGATTATTGCAGTCTGTTGCTGTGGTACAGGAATGGCACGGAATGGCAAAGTCAGGCCACCTTAAGTAATTGATCTTAACATTGACTGGATTTTTTTTGTTCATATGTTTTTGACAAAGCACTAATTTGTCAGCTTACTCTGTACTCTGCCTTATACCAAAGTTCTGTTCTCCGAGTCTGTGGCAACATTTATGTACACACGAGACTGAACGTTGTGTATAAGCAATATATTGCTGTCTGAGAACAAAGGCATGGTGACTGACGTTGTGAGCGTGTGTCTGCTAACAGGGGGAGGCAGACATCTGGGACCCGCTTTATTGCCAGCAAGATGACAGGGTAGCCCCCCTGCAAAGTGTGTGGTTGTGTTGGTGCTCCTCTGCTTAAAGGACAGAAGCTATTCTGCAGCTGCGTAAGTCACACAGCCCCTTTTGCAAACTCGCGTCACACTTTGTGTGTATTTTGGGTACTTCTCAAAGTCAGGTGTGGGGATGAAGAGCGCTGCCAGGCATCTCCATTAGTAAATGCAGAAAAAAAACAACAAAAAAATCAACAACAGGAATTTTTCCATGTAAGTATCTGGTACAAACTCCAATCAAATGTGTGTCCAAAACAAATATTTTATCATCTATACAAGTGAAAACCACAGCTGTGCAGTGATTCAGTGTGATTTTCCATTTGGTTTCTACTTTATTAGTATCCCCATGTTCCAAGAGAGTATGTGAGTCATCCAGAAACCAAGGACAAGTTGATTCCTCTTTGAAACAGATCCCTGCCCTGCCTGTGTGGGTCTCCAGGGTATAGAGGCCATACCAGCTATCCTTCCCCTCAGTGCACTATTCATCTTCAGTGCTGACATCTGCTTTGCCCCTGCTGCACACACCCTTCCCACCAGCATCCATATAGGGGCAATGAGCAAAACAGAAGACAATGGCGACAAAGACTTCCAGCTTGGGCTGGACACGTCACTAATGCTGGGTGGATCACTTAGTGAGGGGTCTTTAAAGAAGAGGTTACTATAATGTGAAAGCCTGCTTTTGTTCTGGTGTCAAAAATGACTTACTTTCTTCCTGGAATCCTATTAAATCTGTTAGTACTTGTCTATAAAGTTACACAACTGGAACTTTTAAATTGTTTCCTTAATTTTCCTCAATGTTTTGTTTAGAGAAAACTGAATATACCATTTATTTAAACACCCAATATTACCTATATGAATCATATTCTGTAAGAATCATATGTGTTTAAAATGTACTGTATATATGCTGTGTAGGTGAATATACAGTGTATTTTACCATTCTTTATTAGGGCCAGTTGTTTTGTACTAGTTTAGCATCACAATGCAGTTCCAAATTAGCATGTATTAAGAAGTTAGTTCTGCAACATGAAATTTGTATGAATGTACAGATAGTTGCCTGACATTTTGACTGAAGGTGCAGTAGTTGTACAGAGTTGTACAGAGGTGGCCCAGTCACACACAAGCATTTAAAACGGCAAAATGTTTTGTGTCGAGTTCAGCTTTAGTGACCTTTAAAATGCTTTAAGACTTTTAAGGGAACAGAGAACCAGAGTCCAAATGGAGGATATTGTTGTACCTTATTAGCTGTTGGCACCATCCTCATGGAGTGTAAACTGTTCCACAAAAGAGCCAGACATTAGTGCATAAATACATCTTTTGAATAATCTGTGGGAACTTAATGTCTCGTTAGAAACTGTGACAACCTGCTTGCTAACTAACAGTAAGTGACAGGTGGTCAGAGAGCTTTTCAAATTCAATTCATCGTCATCCTGGCTGGAGCCAATCCCAGTTGGCATCGGGCGAAAGGCAGGGTACACCCTGGACAGGTCGCCATACACCACACACGAACAGCCACTCACACACCTAATTTAGGGTCACCAATTAACCTAGTCCGCATGTTTTGGGCAGTGGGAACAACAGTTATCTCAGAGCGCTTTTCATAAAAGAGCAGGTCTAGACCGTACTCTGTGATGATATTTACAGAAACCCAACAGTTCCCACCAAGAGCAAGCACTAGGCGACAGAGGCAAGGAAAACTGCCTCGACCGGTTGGGGGTAAAGGAGATAGAGAGAGAGGAACAGAGAGAAAGAGAGAGAGGGATGGTAGGAGAGAGAGGGGGGAGGGAGGCAGCCTACACAATATACACACAGAGGTACAGACAGTAAAAATGGTACAGATATTTATAGTAGTGTTAATGATAATAACCGTAATGTTAATGATAATAATAACAGTAATAAAGTAATAGGACTAGTAACAATAATTGAGGCAGAGGGTGTCAAGCAGGAACACGGGGGCAGCAGGTGACTCGCAACCACAGATCCAGACTCCACAGCTCCAGAGCCAGAAACACCTGCAGAAAGTGATAGGAGGAGAGAGGAGAGGGACGAGAAAGCACAAGACTACGGGAAAGGGAAGAAGTCGAGTTAGTAACATGCATTAATGGGATGAGGTTCCATAAAGAGCGAGAGAAAGAAGAGGAGAGAGGAGCTCAGTGCATCATGGGAAATCTCCCGGCAGTCTAGGCCTATAGCAGCATAATGAAAGGATGGTTCAAGACTCACCTGAGCCAGGCCTAACTATAAGCTTTATCGAAGTGGAAAGTGGAAAGTCTTAAGCCTACTCTTAAATGTGGAGATGGTGTCTGCCTCCTGAACCCAAACTGGAACCTGGTTCCACAGGAGAGGAGCTTGATAGCTGAACGCTCTGGCTCCTAGTCTACTTTTGGAGACTCTAGGAACCACAAGTAACCCTGCATTCTGGGAGCGCAGTGCTCTGGTGGGATAGTAAGGTGCTATGAGCTCTTTAAGATAAGATGGTGCCTGACCATTAAGAGCTTTGTTGGTGAGAAGAATGATTTTAAATTCTATTCTGGATTTTACTGGAAGCCAATTCAGAGAAGCTAAGACAGGAGAAATGTGATCTCTTTTCCTGGTTCACTGTCAACATGTGCTGCAGCATTCTGGATCAGCTGAAGAGTCTTAATGGACTTTTTCAAGCAGAATTGTAGTAATCAAGCCTAGAAGTAACAAACGCATGGACTAGTTTTTCTGCATCATTTTTAGACAG